ACCAGACCCAACTGGCTCAGCTGAGAATTTTGAGTAATGCTTGGATGACAAAAAAAAGAATAGGGCCTTCTCATTAACTACACAGCCGTTCCTACAAGTAGATTTAAAAAGTTCTTATTTGAAGAAAGAGCCAGCCCTTGCAACGAGGGTGATGTTAATCATCCTGGAGGTGCTGGGTTCATATCCTATTCTACCATGACTTCTTAGCATCTTTCCCTACCATGTCTTCTTAACACTCTTCACTGGGCCTTCTGTGTGTGTCATTTCTAGCCAGACAAGACTCTTAACATTTTTTTAGCCCAGACAAATTCATTTTGAGAGCCTTCAGGATTTTGTTTGTGTCTCAGAGCAGATTATCCTAGAGTGAAACACCACACTCATCTGGTCTAACATATGGTGATAGTAAAACCAGTGAAATGTAGTCGGCAATTCATTGTACCATTACTTCTAGAGACCTGTCAGGCTGTTTGGCAACTGCCTAAACACCAATTCATTCACTTCCAAGCACAATTCTCAGAAAGTTTTCTTTAGCAAGATTTATTGCAGGGGTCTTCAAACTTGGCATACGTGGCTGAGGAATTCTGGGAGTTGAAGTCCACAAGTCATAAAAGGGCCAAATTTGAAGACCCCTGATTTATTGAGGTAAAAGGGCCGGAGCTATGAGAATTCCAGCAACTGACCTATCCCCTATTTAGAGCCAATTTATCCCCCTGTGTAGGTTGTCCTTGACTTGCAACCACAATGGGAACCAGAATTTCCATGGCTAAGCAAGGGGGGTGTCAAGTGAGACAACCTCATTTTTACCACCTTTTCTTGCCATAATTCTCAAGTGAATCCCTGCAGTTGTTAAGTGAATCACATGATTGTTAAGAGAATCTGTCTTCCCCCACTAGCTTTGCTGGGAAGGTCACAAGTGATGATCACATGACCCTGGGACACTACAACCATCATAAACACTTGCCGGTTGCTCAGCACTTGACTTTTTTTTTTATTAAAAGTTTTAATTTTTTTTACAATATATACCCCCCACTTCCCAGAGCTGAATTCAGGGTTACAAATAAGCAATCATAATCTAACTAACATTACTCAACTCTACTAACAATCAAATCCATAACATACTTTAACTCCTTTTCAAAGTAAATATTAACAAATTAAGAACCAAAAAGAATAATACAATTAAACAATAATACTAAAAATAATATAAATTCAATCATATTAAACTATTAAAATAATCTAAAATTTACTCATAAGCTAAATAATACTTTTTAGTCTCAAATTTATTCTGAAAGCACTTGACTTTTGATCACATGATCGTGGGGATGCTGCCATGGCCACAAATGCAAAGACTGGTTATGTCGCTTTTTTCAGTGCTGTTGTAACTTTGAACCGACGCTAAACAAATGGGTCTAAGTTGAGGACTTCTTGTATATTCTGATTTTCTTTCTAACAGTTTTCCTATGATCCAGCTAGGATCTCTAAGCTCCAGACTTGGCAACGTTAAGACTTGTGGACTTCAGCTCCCAGAATTCCTCAGCCAGTCCATTCCTAGAATTCCACAGCTACCCATACTGGTTGGGGATTTCTGGGAATTGAAGTCCACAAGTCTTGAGTATGGAGACTCCTGATAAGGGGGGAAATCTTGCAGCTGGTTGCTCCTATACAGTAATAGTCTGCTGAACTATCATCAGCCTGCGAATTCATCCATTTATTATCACTGCTGTTTTTTGTGTATGTGTGATTGTTCAGTGACAGCTGGAAAAGCTATTTGATTTGATCCTATTTAGCCGTATACTTCCTACCTTAATAGGCAGCTGTTCTCCAGGGTTAGGGAAGAAGGGTCCTGCCATCTCTTTGATACTGCTCACTTTCAATTTTCTTTATGCAAACCACATGCTGATTATCCCTCTTTTGTCTTGGATGGTTTAAATAGAAAAGCATTTGCAAAACAATTGCTTTCTGGCAGTTTATTATGACTCAGGATTGCTGCATGCTATCTGTATTTTGGCTGGCAGATGTGGGCTTGAATCTGCCTCCTTTCGTTCTGCATTCTTCCTTGCTCCCTTCTTGTATCTATAATAATATGCAGATTTTTAATGCTTCATACATATTACAAGAATTATATGCAGGTGCACGTATTTATTTCCTTTCTCTGAAACCCTCCGATAATCCTTTAAAGAGTATATTTCCCCTCCCAATATTTTAACAGTGATATTGCAACTATGTGTGATAATGCACAAAAGTTGCCTAATGCCCTAACCCACAAACACCAGTGCTTAAAGCTTCCCATCATGGCAGTAAAATCAGAAACGGATCCAGTAATCTTACTAATCTCTGAAAGTTCTTCAGAGGAAGACTTAAGATTGATAAATAAGACTTCATTGGGTATTTATGATAAAGAGAATGGCAAATCTGAGTTTGTTTCCTGGTAACATACAGGCAGTTTTGTTAACAACAATAACACAGAGATAGATGCCAGTTCTTTCTTTACAACTTGGACTAGCCAAATGCAAACCAGTAATTAATGCCTTGTGAGATCAGCCAAAATCAGCTGGGTGCTAGCTCTGCTGTATTGTGTCTGCAACACTCAAAGCAAATTGTAATGTTCAATGTGACAGAAGTAGTAAAATATTAAACCTATGAGAAGAAAGCTCATGCGTTGCATTTTATTAATTCAATATATGGTCGAGTTTGTGTCCTTACCTGTCCACTGTTTTATTTGCTTTTTATAATCCAATCACTGGCTACCATTCAGGGCCCAGGACGGGTTGAAATTGATTGATTAATTGATTGTATGGCACATTCACATCACATTTTGATAGAAACACAAGAAATAAAATGCATAATGTGAAATATAAAATCTAAAAATATTATAAACATTACTACATTACTGTACAAATATAATGTTTACTTCATTTGTCACAGCCAGGAAATGTGAAAACTGTCCATTATAGGCTCTATTTTGGCACTTTAACAGTATATTTTGGATAGTTTGTTTTTCACCCTGAAGTCACAATTCAGGGATGGTATTTTGCCCCACTTATAGAGGGTATCTATATTTATCATGCCCAATTCAAATTTGGTACAGTGTAGTCCATATTGCATAGGGTGGGTCAATCCAGGTGGTTTATTTTTTCAAGATGCAAGGCAAATTTTGACATTGTGGGAGGGGGCAATTTTTTATTCAATATTATTTCCATATATTGTGTGTGTTAAAATAATCTTCTAATCTAAAATAATTTAGTAGTAGAAATAGCTGGATGAGTCTAGACCTCATTGGGTTGAGAGACAAACCTAGATTACGCAACGTCACCCTAACTTAAAGTCTGTCCTGAGCTTGATGTGAAAGGGACTTCAGCTTCAATGGTTAAAATCTACAGATTGCATAATTTAAATTTAAATAATTTAAAAAGAAAAATCATCCCTTTGAAAGAACAGTTGGTTAAAATCTATCATAAAAATGGCTAAAACGTAAGTATTGGGCAGGAATTTTGAGAGATTTGCCAGTTTGGTGCAGTGATTTAGGTGCTGACCTAGAAACAGGAGACCATGAGTTCTAATCCTACCTTAGGCATGGTTAGGTAACTTTGGGAAATCACCAGGAAATGGCGAGTTCTAGTTCCGCTTTAGGCATGAAAGCCAGTTGTGTGATTTTGAGCCAGGGACTCTCTCAGCACAACCCACTTCACAGGGTTGTTGTTATGGGTGTTGAAGGAAAAGTCTTCATCATGATTCATCCAAGCTGGGTGTAAACAACATGGTGACTGCTTTAGAAAGAAGGTTATAGTTTATTGAAGAGCTAGACAGAAAGATGGTTCTGGCAGGAAAGAGAGAAAAAGGACTGAGCACATGTGGGGAGTGGGTTTTGTACCCTCTGGAGCCTTTTGTTTGTGGAGTTGTTCCTGTTCCTGTGGCATGAACTTTGACCTGAGTCTGAGTGTGCTTTTCAGGTATTCTGATGGTGATAGGTTAATCCTATTATGTCCCAAAGGTCATATCCTGCTTTCCTGGTGCAGTGGCTAATGACTCTTAGAGTTTGGGTTGGGTATGCAGATTTTAGGTGTCTTTGCCTTCCTAAGCTTCTAGCTCCAACTTTTCTGAATGGTTTGCATCTGCATTTGTACAGAGCTGGCTTCTGCTTGGGGGAGGGAGACCTGGGGCCATCAAGGAAAACTGGGCATGCTTTTCTGCCTCTTTAAGATCCTTGGAGGAAATATATTTTTCTGCCCTTGTAATATTTCCTTCTCTGTGGGGCTGACTTCCCATATGGGGAAAATAGGAGGAGGAAGGAGTAGTAGGTATTTTCACTGCTTTGAATTATTTACATATATAACAAAGGTGGGATAAAAAATGTGAATAGGGATGATTATAATATGATGATATAGTGAAAGGAGGGGTTTAAGGGAAAAAAAGATGTAATCCACAGGTTTCATTTAATTGTTGTTTAATGCTGTTGTTGTCATAGTTCCAACATGAAATTCTTCAAAAGAACTTTGAGGCATTGTTTACCTTAAAGAATCTTTTATTCGAGGAACAAAGTATCGGCACTACATAGTCGAAACCAAAAACTAAATTCCCCTCCCCCTGGATACAAAGTAACAAAGCACAATTCCCTCCTCCAATAAACTGTCATAAATCACATCCCCCAATTAGCTTGAAGTGCAGGCTTTCTCCCCAGCTCTCCAGCCCGCCAAAACTCTATCAACTCTGGGCCCAATGACCTTGCGTTCCCATGGCTGAGTTATTATTGTTTATGACTAGCTGGACTTTCATGCACATTCCCCCTCCCAGCATCAACTAACTCTAACAGTAATAGAGGAAAATGGCTGCATTTCCATATGTTGTCAAAGCAAGAACATCCGATGTTAGTAGTGTTGACAGTTGTTTTATGCTTTATTGCAGGAGTCTTCAAACTTGGCCCTTTTATGACTTGTGGACTTCAACTCCCAGAATTCCTCAGCCAGGCAAACTGGCTGAGGAATTCTGGGAGTTGAAGTCCACAAGTCATAAAAGGGCCAAGTTTGAAGACCCCTGCTTTATTGTATGCTGCCCAGAGTCATCGCTGTGAGATGGGTAGCTATATCAATTTGATAAAATTAATAAAAAATGACAGTGGGGCACCCTTGTAGAAGAAATGGAGCAGGTAAGGTAGACCAGGAAGCAACAGGCTCACTCTCAGTCTTGGAAATTCACTTGTGGCTAGTGCCTGCCCCTCCCCCCCAGCCTAGCCTATTTCGCAGGGTTGTAATGGGGATAAAAGGAAAAGAAACCTCCATGGAAGAAGGAGTCTTGAATTCCTGAAGGAAATGCAGAAACCTCTCCCAACAGAACTCCAAATTCTCTCCCCTTCCCCACCTATGATCTGTCATCAGGACTATTGATGGGGTAGAATCCAAAATACACAGCCGGTGCCATCTAGACTTTAAGATCAACAGCTGGGCCTAGTGCTTCATCCCTTGTGCCAGCCTTCTTCAGCCTGGGCTGAGCTGAGGATAATTCCCTTGGCGGGGGATGATTGTTGTTGTAGTTCCTCCCCTTCTGGGGGGGGAGTCCCTCCCTCTCCAGTCTGCTTGTGTTTTGATTTCTTTTCCATAGGTGAGCAGAGAGCCTTTCTCCTTGCTTCCCCATTCTCTTTTACACTTTAATTTGTTTTTCATTAGTTCCTATGGCAACCACGAATGTATCCGTGGCGGGTTTTGAAATTAAGAGAAAATGAGCGCAGATTACCAAAAAAGGGGGTGGGTGGGGGGTATTTGAGATCAAAGAGGCTGAGGAGAAATAGCCCTGCCTGAAGAATTGGCAGTTAAGCCAGTCAGGGTGTTTTCTTCCAGACGGGAGACTCCTTATATCCTTGCCATTATAACTAGCTCAAGATTTTGTTCAAGAAGATTTGCATATCCCCTCCAAAATGCAGAAAAAGAATGGCTGGTAAGTTGTTGTTATTGTTTTTAGTTTGTTGTGGTTCTTGTGATATAAAGGGCAGGGGAACATAGGCTCTCCTCCCCCTATTCTGGTACCCCTCCAAATATATGGGATTATAGCAATGGTGGGATTCAAATATGGGAACAACCGGTTCTATGTGTGGATGCTGCTTCCAGAGGTCCATTCTGGGCCTGGGCAATTAAAAAATTAGCAACCGGTTCTGCTGAAGTGGTGCAAACCAGCTGAATCACACCACTGGATTATAGTCCTCCAAGTCCTTGCCCATGGTTCTGCCTTGTGGCCACCAAAGGTAGGGTTAACCCAGTCTAGCCAGAAGGGGCCAGATTCAGGGGCAAAGTATTGTTTTGGTTTAAATAGAAACTGTTTTGGCGTTCTAGTGTCAAGAAAGCCGGAGATGCAGTCTTCAAGGCAGAGAGGCCTAGTGGGTAGAGTGGTGGGTCTGGCACTCAGCATGCAGGGAGGGTTTGTTTATTACTAGTTCTTCAAAGGTTACCTTTCTGTTTTTGTGGATTGTTGTCAGCATCTTTCGGATTTCTCCTCTATAGAGGTCTTTTTGACTTTCTCTGATACTTGGGAGGGCTAGCCGTTGCTTTCTGTTATGGTTTTTTCCCAACAGATTTCTTTCCATCACTACGATGTCTCTCAAGTTGCCTGTATTTTTGTTCTTTATGAGACACCCCCCACTAAAAGGAGAAGCCCCCTCGATGGGGAAAAAGACTGCTGGCTGGGAACGCTGGAAAGCTGCAGATTGGTTGAAGTGAGGTTGTACACTGAGAAACAGGAGACAGCAGGATCAGATGCTTCGCTAATATGAATGAGAGAAGCAAGGTCACGCCCTTGCTGTTCAAACCCCGCCCCTTTTGTAGAGCTCTGTGATGTCACAATGCACAGAACAAAAGGGGCAGAGCTTGCATCACTGTGGGGGTGGGGCTGTCTTCCTTAGCTTGACCTCTTCTGAGGATGCCTCTGTTCACCGCTCCCCCCCCCCATCTTGGTGCACTTGCAAAATAATTTCAGAAAGATCATTTCACACCCAGGTTCTGTTTTTCTTGGAGAGCAGTTTTGAAAGCCAATTCTTTAACAGAGTAAGAGTTGGAAGGGGGGAACCTTGGAGGTCTTCTAGTCCAATCCACTGCTCAATCAGGAGACCCTATACTGGGGGTCTTCAAACCTGGCCTTTTTATGACTCGGGACTTCAACTCCCAGAATTCCTCAGCTAGCGTGCCTGGCTGAGGAATTCTGGGAGTTGAAGTCCACACATCATCAAAGGGCCAAGTTTGAAAACCCCTGCCCTATACCGTTTCAGACAAGTGGCTTTCCAGTCTCTTCTTAAAAGCCTACAAGTAGAAAGGCAGACCCTAATTAATATCAAACAGACCTGGTGAGTTCTTGGATGAGACGTCATTAGGAAATCCCAGGTCCGCAGACTAGACTGGGAAATCCAACATCTTGCATGAAGACAGTGGCAAGCTACTTGCATAAGACTGTCATGGAAAATGACATGGCTGCATTTGAAAGATCAGAATAAGAGAATTAGAAGGGACCTTGGAGGTAATCTAGTCCAGACATGTTAAACTCGCGACGTCACATGACGTCGCGCAATGTATTGGGACGGTTTGCCATTGCCGGCAATGGGGTGGGCGTGGCTTCTGGATGACGTGTCTGGCCTGCAGGCTGGCAGTTTGACACCCCTGATCTACTCCAGTCCCGCGCTCAGGCAAGAAACCCTATACCAATGATGGTGAACCTATGGCACGGGTGCCAGAGGCGGCACTCGGAGCCCTCTCTCTGGCACACATGCCATTGCCCCAGCCTTGCCTCCCCCCACGACCCCCTCTTCTCCAGCAGCCCCCTGAAGGAGAGTTGCCCTCGTGCATGGCCCACATGGAGCAGCGCAGCCAAGGACATGGAAGCCAGGCAGCGTAGACAAGACTCTGCCCTCACACCCCATCATGCAGTTGATGCTGCAGGACACGGGCAGAGGGTGTGGCCGCCATGGCGCTGCTGGGCTTCCTGGGCGATCTGCGGTGGGCTCTGGAGGCAGTGAGTGGGCAGACGGGGTGGGGGATGGGGCAGAGCGGGGGCGGGTGGGGAGGTGGAGCAGGGGTGGGGCCAGTTTTTGGGCACTTGGTCTCTAAAAGTTTCGCCATCACTGCCCTATACCATTTCAGACAAATGGCTGTCTAGTCTCTTCTTAAAAACTTTAAACCTTGTTTATCTATAGGTAGTCCCCAATTTACAAGCACAACTGAGCCCAATATTTTCATTTTTAAGCAAGGCAGTTGTTAAATGAGTTTTGCCCCATTTTGCAATTTTTTTTTGCTACAGTTGTGAAGCGAATCAGGCAGTTGTTAAATGAATCAGGCAGTTGTTAAGTGAATCTGGCTTCCCCCAGTGACTTTGCTTGTCAGAAGCCAGCTGGGAAGGTTATAAATGGTGATCAGATGCCCCCACCCCACAGTACAACTGTCATAAATACTGCTGCTACACTGGTAAATAAAATTCTTCCTTGAGTTGAGCTCAACTCCTAGTTGCAACGGACCTTGCAACCTGCTCAGTGTCTACTGTGTCCCCACACTGACATCATCACAGGCCTCAACAATTTTACACAAAAGGCATCTTCAGATGCTCTTTCTCTGACATCATCTGCCGGCAGTGCCCTCTGGATTCTCAATGTAGGAGAAACATTGTGCAAAGGAATGAATGGATACAGTTTTGACATTAGGACACCAAACAAAGTACAGATGGTCCTCGACTTACAACAGTTCAAAGTTACAATGGCATTGAAAAAAGTGGCTTTTGACCATTTTTCACACTTGCAAATGTTGCAGCATCCCCAGGGTCACCTGATCACAATTCAGACCCTTGGCCACTGACTCATATTTAGGACAGTCGCAGCGTCTCGGGGTCATGTGATCCCCCTTTGCAACTTTCTGACGAGCAAAGTCAATGGGGAAGCCCGACTCACTTAACAACCGGGTTACTAACTTAACAACTGCAATGATTCACTTAACAACTGTGGCAAGGCAGGTTGTAAAATGGCGCAAAATGGACTTAACTGCCTCATTTAACAACACAAATTTTTGGACTCCGTTGTGATTGTAAGTCGAGGACAACCTGTCATATCACAATATTTCAAGCTTCCAGGATGTTCTGCAGCAAAGTTTAAAGGGACTGTTTTTGGAAAGTGGGACTTGAACAGCATCATTAGCTGAGACATGTTTTTTGTTTCCAAAATAGCTTCTTTGAAAGCTCAGCAAAGTAGTTATTTTGGAAATAAGAAACTTTACAATCAGTTGAGGCAGATATTGTTGAACCTACATACATCAAAAGCTTTCAGGCTGACTCTGAAGGCCATAACAAACAGAATGGAATTTTAACACATTGGAGGTGTTAATTGACAGGAAACTGTCTCACATACAGCCTGCATCTTGAAAACAAACCATGTTCTGATTTTCCTTCTCTTTTCTCTGCTTTATCATAGCTTAAATCCTGTGTCAGTATAATCCACTGTTTCTCAACCTTGGCTGAATGTCTGTGGAGATTCTCAGTCATCCAGGTCATGGTTGTCCCAGAGCTTTTTCAAAAGGCAACTGGACTTTGTTTTTCCTTGAAGACATTTCACTTCTCATCCAAGAAGCTTCTTCAGTTCTGACTTCAGACCAGTCAGAATGGAAACAGCTTCTTAGATGAGAAGTGAAATGTCTTCAAGGAAAAACAAAGTCCAGTTGCCTTTTGAAAAAGCACCTTTGGGACAATCTTGGCAGCTTGAAGAACTGTGGATTTCGACTCCCAGAATTCCCCAGCCAGCATGGCTGGCTGGGGAATTCTGGGAATCGAAGTCTACAGATCTTCAAGCTGCCAAAGTTGATAAACACCAGTTTAGCCACTCCATGTACCTGATTAAGTGAGCTATCAAAAGTTTGGCCTTTTAATAAAAAAAATGTTAATCGGGAAAGGCGCTTCTGTTTCAAATTTCTAGAAACTTCAAGGCCAGGTCCATGTTGAAAGTGTTACATAAAAGTGTTTTGCCTCTGGAGTCTTCCTTATTTATTTATTTATTTATTTATTTACTTTATTTATTTATTTATTTCCCAGCTACTTTTAAGCTCCTAATTTTTCCAATAATACAGGAAGTCCTTGACTTACAACACACATGTAATGGCTGTTCAAAATTACAGCAGAACTGAAAAAAAGGAGTTATGACCATTTGTCACACTTATGACTGTTTACAGCATCCCTGTAGTCACGTGATCAAAATTTGGATGCTTGGCAGGTATTTATGGACAGTTGTAATATTCCGGGGTCATGCGAACTTTTGTGAATTTCTGACAAGCAAATTCAGTGGGGAAGCCAGATTCACTTAACAACCATGTTACTAACTTAACAACTGCAGTGATTCATTGAACATAGAATAATGGAAGGGAGTTTGGAGATCTTCTAGTCTAACCCCCTGCTCAAGCAGGAGACCCTATACCAGGGGTACTTCAACTTCCAGAATTCCTGAGCCAGCGCGCATGGCTGAGAAATTCTGGGAGTTGAAGTTCACAAGTCATAAAAGGGCCAAGTTTGAAGACCCCTGCAATAGGGGATCAAATGACCTTGAGACATAGCAACAGTCATAAGTATGAACCAATTGCCAAGCATCTGAATTTTGATCACATGATCATGGGGATGCTACAAAGGTTGTAGGCATGAAAAATGGTCATAACTTTGAATGGTCACTAAATGAACTGTTGTAAATCAATTCCTATATCTGTTCTTCATATGTTTTAGCCTCCAGCCCCCTAATCACTCTTGTTGCGCTTCTCTGCACTCTTTCCAGAGTCTCAACATCTTTTTCATGTTGTGGTGACCAAAACTGGATGCAATATTCACTTAACAACTATGGTGTGAAAGGTCATAAAAGGGGGCAAAACTCACTTAACAACTGTCTTGCTTAGGAACAGAAATTTTCGGTTCAATTTTGATCGTAAGTCGAGGAA